TTGTAATTTGCGTACATCGCGTGTTCACAACGAAGAAGAGTGTAGAGCGAGAGTATCTCGCAGCACACCATCTCCATCGAAAATAATCGAAGGAGGACGACAACAACATCATCATCATCAACATCAGTTCTTGTGGATTGCAGGGAACGAGAATGTCGTTCTTATAACGATTTGGTGCCTGTATAATAGCCGGATACGAGGTGTGCCTCTTTTGCCTTCGAGCAACTAATAATGAATGGATGAATGAATGAATGAATATATACATATATATATGTGTATGTAACCAACAACAGATACACGTTTTCTTCTCATCTTCTTAATCTTTATTTGCCGTCGTCGACCGTAGTCCATCCTCTTCTTCTTCGGTCGCGGCGACAACATTCGCGACGAACAACTCGCTAATCCAGTTTACAGCCAGCAGCCAGCTTCATATTAATTCATGCAGAAACAGCAGCAGCAGCAGCACCAAAGGCCGACAACAAGAACATTCGTAGCAGCCGTCGTCTTCTTCCCAACGGTACATGATGAAACGCACAAAAAAAAGACGAGAAGGACGGCTTTATCTATATATATATTTATACACTTTTCCCATTCATTCAAGTTGGGATTGTTTAGCAAATATATCGCGCGCGCACGGATCTCCTCTCTTCACCAACGAATAACAACTCCACTTCTTCCCTGCGCCGCTGCTCCTCCGTATACGGAGGTGGTCGTCGCCGCCGTATGCCTGGCAATTTAGAATCAATCCATCGAAGAGTCGAGTGAAAAATAAAACAAAAAGAATGAAGGAATGAAAGAATATTGTCAAGTATATATCTTGCGGGTCCGTTGACCTCTCGTCTTCTTCTTCGTCGGTCGCGCGCGTTTAATGAGAAAACCAACAACGTTGATTGTCGATCGAATTTTCAATTATCTATCACGATGTTAATTCGTTTCTTTCTCTCGCATCCATATTCATTCGCCGTGCATTCATACATGTGTGTGAAGGAGAGATGAAGTTCGTATGAGAGCATATGTTTGTTGTCTGCGTAATGCCACACACTTGTCGGGGCAGATGTGATTGAGGGAGGAGAGACGAAGGAGACGACTAGAGTGCGTACGTAAGGTCGACGACGGTGGTGCTGGTGATGATGGTCGATCGATGCGTCGTGGGAACGAACAAAAATAAACCTTCATCTGCAAAATTATCCTGTTACCAAACTTAATGTTCTCAACGCTTGCTTGCTTCGTAATACAATTAATATCTAATCATAATAAGCTTTTAAGTTTCATTTGAAATACATTCGCAGAATGTGTGTGACCGTGTTTACAATATAATAACGCATGCGAATTTTATTGCTGCAAATGTAAAACGTTTGCTTTTGGCCTCTCCTCGTACTTGGTTATTCAATTATTTTTTTACTCCTAGATTCCAAGGATGCTGTGTTGCTTGTTTCTTTTTTGTTTTGTTTTTAGCGAGGGTCGCGATTGAAGGAAGTTGTGCGTGTGGGGAGGGACGGGAGAAGGAAGTGTTCTTGTGGCCGCCGAAGAGAGAAAAGAGGAAGAGGCGTAGGATGAGGAGGAGGAGGTGGGGAAGGGAAGATCACATCTGTGTGCCCGGGTGCTGCTTATACCTTTTATAGAGCAGCAACCAGCGACAGCAGCAGCAGAAGAGTATGAGAATTAAGGGCGGATGTAAGGTGAAACGGAAGTGATCTTCCTGAGGAACGAACGAGTGGTCGTCTCGCGCGGATTTGAATCAGTGTGTCCCCATAATCCATCCCTCGTTCCCGGCCATGTGCGGCGCTCATCGCTCTCCTTTCAAATTCATTTACATCCTCTTTTACATTTTTGTTTATTACTTCTCTTATCCTGCTGCTGCTACTGCTGCTGCAACATCATCATCATCATCATCCTTACGTTCGCTACATATGCATGAACCGAAAATCCGATGATCAAAAGGGAGGAAATGAATAACTAACTGTATATAGAGTTATAAGTAACACACGTGCGTTTTTTTTTTGTCGACGCTCGAACAGAAAGGACGAGATTAAAACTCATTTAACGTGCAATTAAACAGTAATGAATTTCTCTCCTCCTCTTTGTTCTTCTTCTTCTCTCTCGTTCAACTTCTCTCCACGAGATTTATATGTACACGTCTCTATTTTTATACGCTCAACGCCATAAGATTACAATTGCAAGACACCTTTTGTTTTCCTTCGCTATCTTGATTACTATCTTCCATAAATGCAAATATATGAAACGAGGCCGTGTAAAATAATCTGAACGCTATTACTGTTTTATTCCAACGAATTAAGTTTGCGCGTCGTTCGTGCGCGCACGATGATGAATAAAAATGAGAAATCGAAGAGAATTTAAAATGCACAAAATACAAAGCAAGCACAAGATGAGCGCTACAAGAGGAATACACAAATACTCGACGAAACAACAATAACAACAACGTGTATATAAATCAATCAATCAATCGCTCGCCGAGCAAACGACGCGATTTACAAATTTAATTTTCAACATGTAATGTAAGAAAATAAATAATCCTCGCTTTCTCTTCCTACGCTCACACGCAAATCCAATTGGACAAAATTATAATCGCTTAATTATATATATTTAAATACATTTAAATATATTTATATACATGTGCGTTAGTTGGACTGCAAGATGAGATGAGATGAGATGCGAGTCCGTGCGATGCGAAGAACCCATACACAATATGCCAATTGACCCATCACCTTTGTTATATGGGCATTTTTGACCTCATTCTATCATAATCCGACGACGACGAAGACAATGACGACGCATAACGAGACCCAAAGAAACCACTATTCGTGAGCGCACGTGATCGTCAATTAGTGCTGACACAACCAAAGACTCCCTGCCGCCCCCGCCCCCTTCGATATCAACTAATTAAAACTGTAGCATCTAAAAATACCAGTCAGCTAAATAATATTTGTACTCGTTTTCTTTTCTTCTCTTTTTTTTTTTTAATCAATTTATTTATTCATATTGTTTATTATAACTGCTTTTTGTTTGCTCTGCATGAAGGAAACACGAGTAGCAGCTATGGAATGATAATGTATCGAATATCAAATGTAAATGTTTACGCCGATGTTGATGATGAATCAACAAAATAATTATTGTGAACGGGCATCACAGAAAGACGTTGCGCCTGCGATGCATATATGTACTATGTTGGCATTGTTTCTGTACACGCTTATGGGCAAACGTTATCTATCAAATTGTAGTTTTGAAACGCTTTCAAAAGGATTGAATTACGTGTGCGTTGTATGCACGGAAACTTTTGTGCGACCTTTATTCGAGAATTGTTTGCTTGCTTGAAGTTGCTGAATACATAGATACTCACTCACTCACTAGTATGTTGAATGAGGGTAGAGACATTTAAATTTAAAACAAAGAAGAAATATTGTTTTTCCAACAAACAAAACTGTAGAACGTTGATAAGCGTCGAATCGAGTTACGTGATCCGTTCGGAATTCAATGTGCGAACAATTATCGTGTTCTCTTGGTGTTTAATTCGCACAGCAGAATTGTCACATGTTTCTCTATCAATTATCAGTATATCCATTTTCAGTTTCCGTTATTTCGTTACTGAGGTTTGCTGTTGTTGTTGTTGATAAATAATTGTTCATTTATTTACAGCAGATAGCAGCAGATTTGCGAACTGCTTCAGAAGCAGCAGAAAACGGTGAATCAACAAGTGTTTTGTTTGCTTGTTGTTGCTGCGTTCGCGATTCGAGCGCACCGAACCATGAAATAATACTCTTCCACCTTCTTACATTATACTTGAGGTGAAATTGAGAAAGGTAGGTTGTTTTAAATTTACTTCATTCCAGTTTTCGCTTCTTACCTCTTTCTTCGATCACCGTTTTCGCATCGGCCAAATTGTGGACGACGAAAAGTACCATCAATCCAATTGAGATGAGTAGGATTCGTCTCATGATGATGTTTTCTTCCCTTCCTTTTCGATTGTAATCCGATTTTTAATCAAGGGCACATAATGCGAATTCACCAGTTCCGCTCGATTTAAATATCTCTCTTCAGTTTTTAAACGTTCCGCGCGCACTTTCCGATTGGCAAGAAAACCACCGCCACGACCACCACCATTCGCACTCGATGAATATTGTAGAGGGTATTCCTATTGCGCGAATACTGATCGACTGCTACCGTTTCATAAGCCAATGTCTTTCTGGTACTGCTTCTGCTTTTGCTTTTGCTGGTAGGCTCTGCTTGCTTCCTTCTTTGATCGCTCGTTCGCTCGCTCGCTCGCTCGCTTGTTCGTTCGTTCGTACAACTCCGTCTACTCTGAATCTCTCTCGCACTACGTACTAAACTAACTAACCACTGAGAACCACCACCGACTCTATACGTACACGAACGCAGGCGAGCGCCTTGCTCGGAATAATACCAGGTATTCATCTCTTGCTTACCAGACAGCATGAGAACCTCAACTTCTTCAGGATGTTGGAGCGCTTTTATTTTTGTTTGTTCGTCTCTTTTCTGTACGCGAGATACATCTAAATCATTGCAATGTTAATCTGATGAACGATGAAATCCTCTACGCAACATCATTAAGTTAAAATACGTTCAATGAAACTTTAAAAAGAAAGAAATGGCTCTTGAAAACACAACGAAACGTTGTTGTTGAACGCAATCCTAAAATAACACACAAAATCTATTTGTTTTTATGGTTTCAAATAATACCCGAATGTACTGCTGTTCCATTTCTGGGTAGTGTCCGACCTCCCTTTACAATATTTATTACAGCTAAAAATGCAGACGTAAACGTGTGAAATGGAAAACAACAATATCATATGTATAAACACTATAATAATAATAATATTTAGTAGCCATGCTGATGTATATTTAATGAAATTAATATTTGCATGAAATCTCTGTTTAAATTTGAAAGAACTTCAAGAGCCATAGGTTTACATTTTCAAGTACTTTGAGTTGCATAACATGCATAATGAAAAAAATGATCATAAGAAACTTTGTTTTATTAATTCCCTAGTAGTTGATTGGAAGATGGTCAGTGTGCACGATAAGTTGCATAATCAGAATACAACCGCCATCCAAGAAATGTTATTGAAAATTGAATGTAAACAGTGGTGGTGGTGGTGAGAATTTCGTGCAAGCAAAGGATTGATCTAAATAGAAAAAAAAATGTATTTGTTGAGGCACACCGATGGTAAGATGTGGATGATAAAAATAAATTTGTAAATATTTGTTTCTGTATTAACTAGAATTTCTCACTTATTTTTTAGGTACTGAATTCGTTCTTATTGATGGTAGAAGTTACACAGTGGGACGTAGGAAATGTGACATCACTTTGGAGAGCAAAGACATAAGTCGCAGTCATGCAAAGATTGTTGTCAGAGTGAGTGAGTAAGAGTTGATGGGTCAGATAATATTGTTATAGTTTTCTTTTTCAGAATGCACATGTCTTTGTTGTTCATTTGCAAGCTACGAATCAAACATCAATCAATGGGAACTTGCTGAATGTGGACAAGGAGTATGAACTGAAAGTCGGATGTCAGGTCAAGTTTGGTGTGTCCGAAACGATTTTCAGGTAAGTTTAAGATTCCTATTGCATATGTTTTCTTGATCAGATTCAATGTACATAATATGATCATAGATATAACAAGTGTTCTATGATTCGTTTGCTATAAAAAGGATGATGTTCTAGTTTGCAAAAGGATGTTCTGGTGGTATCAACTTCTGGTATGGCCAGAGAGAACAAATTGAAGGTAAAGAAATTTGTGGAAAAGAGAGGAGGAATTTTCAACATGAGCTGGAGTAAAGAGAACACGCATCTCGCCATCGATAATTTCGTGTTGACCGTGAATACGTGCAGCGCGCTCATCGACAAGCAGAAGATCGTGAAATTCCAATACTTCGTAGACTGCTGGGATTGCATAGAAAAGTCGGAAAAGCTGCCGGATGTGAACAAGTATTTGCCGACGCCGACAGTCGACATGGTCAATTCCAATATCTCGTTCAGATTCGAGATGGACAGACAGTGGCTCTTCAGGAACAAGACTTTCGTGTTTCCGAATGCCGAATCGGCAAAGAATATGAAGAATCTTATAGGCATGGCTTCTGGCAAGGTAATCGACATCGAGAAAAATCGTTTGTCGAATGATGAGCTGCTTTCTTCGGAAAACGAATACCTGCTTGTTATGATGGACGTGAATGCCGATTCCGATGACCGCAGTTACTTTGGGGATTGCGTGCGATACGTGATGAGGAACGATCGCAGGCCGATTCCGTTGCAGGAAATTCCCACCGCAATACTCGACGGCTCTTGCGACGTCAACTGTAATCCCAAATTCAATAAGATCGGTCATCTGGTGTCCGCGAAGAAGGTCAACATTAGGGGGCAGATCTTGGTGCCTGAAACTCAGACACAATCGGTGGCGGCCGTAGTAACAACATTGCCTGGTTTGAGCGTACACAGGAAGCGGGTTCCTCCTGAGATGGTAATCTGCGTGCGTCCACATATCGCATCGTATAAATTTTTCTTGTGTTCTTTTAAGGAACTCCCGATTGCCAAGCGTCCCTGCATCCCGACGTCGGACTCTATTAATATGACAAATAGAAGAACAACGACGAAGGACCAGGAAAGTCATTGATAAAATGGGCATAAATGAAAAGTGCGTAACTCTAGTTTCATCATTTCAGGAACAAGACTCGCCGCCTCCGCCCTCTAGCAAGCGGAAGATGCACGACGACGACGATGATGGTGATGATGATGCCGCGACGATAAGTGCTAAAAGAACAAATGTCGTTGTGCAGGTTTTAGCAGATCTGACATTAAAATCCTCATCTACGGCGATCGTACCAGATGAACAAGACGCACAAATAATAGAAGACTCGGACGATGAATCGGAAAATTCCGTAAATACAACAACAACAATAACAACGACGACGACGACGATGACTACAGTGGGCACAACAACGATGATAAAACAAATATTCGTATCAAAAGAGTCTCCTGCCGTTCAAAAGGCATCTGTCGAGGAAGAACCGTTTAGAGAAGTGAACAGCTGTACATCATTTCAAAATTCACCGTGGATCCGCAAGAGGATTATAGAGAAAGACACGTCGAGTGTAGAAGCCGATGCGAATATTTCCTTCAAAATGATCGTCTGCAAAGAGTTGACGTTCTCGAGGTCTCAGTACGCGTCGATGAGTCTGCTGAACTCGACGGTGAATTCTGGTACGGCGTTGACGAACAGCAGCACCAACGGCGAGCGAAAGAATTTCAAGAAATTCAAAAAAGTCCAGGCTCATCATCCGCAGACCAGAATTGTCTCGCACAAGAATTTGAAGCCGGTCAAGTGCGGTGGCGATGAAAATAAATCATCTTCAAAGCCGAAAGAAGAATCAGCAAGAGCATCGAACGCTAAAGACGATGAAGAAGAAATCATAACCAGCGTATCCCACGTGGCGCCATCTTCAATGAAGAAGAAAAAGCAATCTGCAGCATCCAGATATGACGATGATGATGATCATCATATAGCATCATCATCGCAAATGAAAAAAAAAAGTAAACCGCAAGAGATCGAAACAAAGAAAAGAGGATTTATTTTCAATTTCAAATAGTGAAATCGCATTTCCAATGTAACACAAAAGAAAAGAGTAATAATTTAGTATTCCGTTTTGTTTGAAATCTATTTACGTATAATTAAACTTTTAAACTATTGAAACGTTTCACTTTTCATTTGATTACTTCCCAAAACATCCATCTTTTGGATTCATACAATCTATTATACTTTCCTACAAAATCACTAAAATGTGAAAATACTGCTTTTTCAATCGTTAATTGTTGTACGATAACTGCACTAAGTGGAAGCAAAGTTGCGTAACGAAGGTTGTTTTTCTGCGGTGACGTCGAAGGACCTCCGATATCGTTCTGGCGCGTATCCCAGGATTTCCGAGAAATTTCTTCCGCATTGAGGAAGCGTGGGAGGGTGCGCGGTCGATATTTTACTGTATATGTGTACGAAAGATAGAGCGAGAGAGAAGAGAAGGACCAGCGCGCCGAAAAACGAACGCAAAGGATTGCTGAGTTTTCCCTTTGAAAACTCTCGAGACTATAATATTCGAGTCGTCGTCCGCGCGTCGTTACGTAAGAAATCACACATTTCTGAAGATTAAATAACGAACTCCAACGAACATACATGTGGGATGACTCAACGGACCGACAACAGCACAAGAAGGTACGTACGTGCGTACGTGAGTGCGAGAGAGTATGATGTTGTTGTCGTCGAACAGGTAGAAAAAGGTAGGCATTGAGAAGGAAGGAAGAGGTGGAGGAGGAGATGGAGACTCTCGCTGACTCCTTTTTATTTTCCTTCCCTTTGTTCGTGTATGTACACTAAAGTGGAAACAAAAGAGTGCAAGAAAGAATGAGAGAGGAAGAGTAGAAGAATAGTGAAATTGTAAAGGAGCGAACGATGAACGGCGGTGGTGGTGGTGGTAGTGGAGCCGGTCTTTGTTGTGCCTTTCCCCCTACCGCGATCACCTTCACCTGAGGCGCGCACACACATTCACACGTACAGGTACACAAACGAATATCAATATTTTATTCTCCGTCGACGTGTGTAGCACCTGACGCTGCGATGACTCACTGGCCCTTTGCCCGATTCATAATAAGCTAAACACGCACACCAGAAGAAAGGCGGTGAAGAAGGAGGATGAGGAGAACTTTCCTGGTCGACGGAACCTGACGACTGGAAAAAGCCACTAATTATCAAAAGATACTATAAAATCAGATAGATAAAACAAAACAATCTATTCAAATATTAGCTAAATGAATCATAAGACTTGCTTTAATCGTACTTTTTGAAACACCACGAGAAACAAGGAAGGTATGTTTTCATTTCTAATTCAAAAGTTTCTGTTCAAGTATTTTTACTAACAGATTTTTAAATTTCTTGTATATACGTTCTCATTATGAAGCAGCATGAAAATACGAAGATAACGAAGTGGTAGTGGATTGAAGATTGTTTGAAGAAATAGCGATTGATTCGGTTGATGATTCTTTCTTTCTTCGTTTAATTTCTGTTTCGAAACAACGGTGGCGCCAACTGCGGAACGCGCTCGAACGTATGATTGATGCAAATGCTCGAAATACTCCTCGTATATATATTTCGCCGCAAATACAAGGAAACACAATGGAAATGTGTACAAACGAGACAAGTAATATTGCTAATTGAGTGATTGGCTTGGCTTGTAAAATACAATTGCGCCCGAAAGATGATAATATTAGTTAGATTTAATGTCTAAACGGGAAATGTAATAATCTTTGGAAATACAAATTTGATTGTTGTGTGAGTGCGCAGGTTGTAAATTGGATTTTAAAAGGGGTTGGTTATTCGAATTGAATATGGAATCGGATGTCTTCGAAATGCGGTTTACAGGTAGAGAGCGAGAGAGTGAGTAGATAGAGGAAAAGGTAGATGTGAGGTAGATAGTGTACACGTATACGCAACAACGGACGTCTGAGGGGAGGGACTTGCTCTGAGGCAAGGAAAGGTGTGTGTGTGTGGGTTCGGAAAACGCGCGCCGAATGGAGATTCCAAACTAGAATCGAACGGTACTTCAGTGAGAGAGGAGCGCCATTTTGTTGCTCTCGGACGAGCGTATAGTGAAGTGAAGAGAGCGTAGCGAGTGCGCGAGTAGTAGAGACAGGACGACAGGTAGCAAGCAAGCAAGCAAGCAAAGAAAGGTACATGGATGATACAGGTACGTTTGGTTTGATTGAAAAGGGCTCGTACGTATCTTGCTACCTACCTGTTCGTTCGTGTAAACGATGAACTGCTCTTCGTCGCAGCAGTTCGAGTCGGTGCGCGCTTGAAGAGAAGAGCAGTGAGCGAGCGAGTCTGCAGAGTGAACGAGCGAAAGTATGTGCATCAACAGAAACACCAGCAGTAACAGCAGCAGAAGAAGTGACCGAAAGAGGAAATATCCGTGTTTGTTTTGAATACTGTGAATGTGAGTGCAAGTGCAAGTGGATGAGTTCGTGTGTGTGTGTCTTCATCCTCGCATTTCGTTTTTGGATTTACTAGATTATCAACGCACCATTTAGATCAGCAACAATCGGCCGTAGGCGTAGCAGCAGTAAGTTGCCCTTTTTCGTTCGTCCATTCCAACCATCTCTCTGTTCCCTCCTTTGTAATAATGAGCGCACGCAAAATCGATACCGGGGGGTTGGTCTGCGTAGGTCCGTCGCCAAATGGAACTGAATGAAAGTCGCCGTCGTCGTTTTATTCAACAACTACAAGAAGATAAAAAAAAAGTTGGTTAAGGATTTTTCAATAGGATTTTATAGCAAAGTACATATTTCACGTGCATTTAGGCCGCACGATCGTTATACGCGTGCACGTACATAGTAAATCCATCTTCGATTTGGCCCGCGCCAAATACGAACGTGTCCATTGCGGTTGCACGAAGTCCATCCTCTTCGTAACCATTCCAATTACAAAACAATTGTTGAAGCCATAAAGTAACTAAGCAGCAGCAATAGCAATTACGATACCTTGCAAAACAAACAGAAAAAAGAAAACATGTTAATAAATCGGCACATTTGAATGGTACAGTTGAGCTTCCAAGGTACACATATAGATAATTAAAATCAGAATAATGATAATAGTAATATAGCAATAATGTAAAACATCATAAAAGTAAAGATTACAATATCTAAACGAAAATGGCAATATTAATCTTTGGATTTGATTAAGTAAAACAACAAATCCAAATTACAAACAATGAATGAATACTTGGATACTTGAAAGAAAACAGCAAATAAGTCAGTAATAGCTTCGATTAAATCTACGATTGAACAAATTTATTGAGTTTAAGTTATATTGTTTTGAAAATTACGATAATAATAAACGAAAAATGTCTTTGATTTTATTTCATAATTTTGACCTACGAATGAGTCATTCGCAAAGTTACAAAGTGAAAATGAAAGGAATGCACGTTTTATCTCCGTTGAAATCCGATAAGAACTTTTTGAAATTACATGTATAACATTTTTGTTTTGCAGATGCACACGCCGGAGGGGACGCTGGAGCGGAGGGTCCAGGCGCATCCGCATTTTCATACAGCACCGGCAAGAGAATCGTCAAGGAGACGCGACGAGGGACAAGAACACGACGACGAAGAGGAGGACGATCACCAACAACATCATCATCATCATGTAATCTCGATGCCCAACTACACCGATCAATTTACCAACGACAGGTATAAAACCGCGAATAAGAAGAAGAGGAAGAAGTTGAAGTCCGAAATTGCTTAATCTCACTCTCACTCTGTCTCTCTCTCTCTCTGTTTCTCTAAACATTTATAAGAAGTGTACATAAACATACATATACATGTGTGACCTAACGCTTATATACAAAATCATCGCGCATCATATGACTATTTTCGCCGTTATCGTTATCGCACTTTTCCAACGCCAACTTCGAATAAATAAATAACAAATGTTACGTAGCGAAATATGTCTGTGTGTGTATGTATATATATATATTATTAAAATTGTTCGCATTATCGGTTCGCAAAACTTTCGCAATCGCGAAAACAAATTTATTAACAATTATCCCAAGGTTTGAGTCGCAAGGCGTACGCAACGAATAACGCGCCGTAGAATTCTTTCACTTATGTAAAGAACAAAATAACAACAACAACAACGGCAGCAGCAGCAGCAGAAACAACATGAATGTTATGCGTTCCACAAAATCAAAATAAATGCAAAATTTCGCAACTAATTATGTTCATTTCTGTTCGCTGTTATTACTTTAATTGTTTCGTCTATTCGGATACGAAAGTAATGTATGTATTATTTGAATAATACAGAGAAGATGTTGCATCGGTTTGTTATTGTTATTTATTTTTTTTAACGTTCAGGCAAAAATAAACTGATACATCTTTATCTGATAACAAATCAAGTAGTTCAATGCTACTAATATGAAAAGGAAAAGTTACAACACATTTAGTTTTTTGTTTAAATTATTGTACAATATCGAAACGTTGGATTATATAATTATTTATATAATCTAATGCTTTTTGGAACGCGTCGAAAGAAAGTTATATTAATATTTTAAATAATGCAACAAATTTAAAATCGTTTGCAACGATGCGATCGGTCGTCTCCTTTACGTGCCGCTGAGAACAACAGAGCTCAACCACCAACAACAACAACAACATCCTGCCTTTGATTGCAGGTAGACTGTCGTGGGAAAATCCACTTGGTTTGCATTCAAATTAAAGCCTTCCTCCACCGTTCCTTCTCGCAACGGACGGCAGGCAACAGCAGCAGCAGAATAAATACATTGCATTGCTTATACACCGAAAAACACATAGCATTTCCAATTTGCATTCGATACATTTGACTACAATTATTTGCAAGCAATATTCCACTAATAATTAATTAATGACCATCAATTATAACAGCAGTTTGTGTAGGTAAATCTATATTTTTTAAGTGCTAATGTAATTGGAGAGAATGCAACAAAACAACAAATAATAACAAAAAAAAAATTGAAAGTCGGCGAACGGGAACATTGCAAAAGAAACTTGAAAAGGTAAAACGTGAATGCCGCCAACGCAAATATGCAGCAGTATTTTTGTTTTTTTTTCGAGAATGTCCAATGTCCAAATATACAAAAGGTGCGATTCAAAATTTTGGGCTTTGAAATACGAGAAGAAACGAAATGGGAATGGATAGTTTGTGTTACCTGCTTCACAAAGAACAAATCCACGTAGATTACAAAATGTATATAACGCGTATTATTTTCTCAACATTACTCGAAAACGTGCAAGTACGGAATCCTTGACATTAAAAATGCTGTTGCCAAAAAAATGCGCTCGTCCTTAGATAATAGTTTAAATCCTCTGCAAAACTATTACTAATCAAGTCGGTTGGTCGGTCGGTCGGTCGGTCGATCGACATTCATGTTTCGTCCACTTTGGTGCGATTTTGTCTCTGTCGCACCAACAACGGCATTCGCATAAAGTTCTTCGAACAGGTTTAGCAGAGAAAGCTAAAAGAGCCGAAGCCGCGAATTCGACATCGTCGTCGGTCCGACCCGGCCCGGCCCGTCGTTCGCTCACTGCCTCCTCCTGCTGCTAGTCTTGCTACCTCTGCTAGTAGACCGATCGACCGACCGACCGACCATCGATGCAGCCTTGAAATTTTCGCCCGAGTCCCGTTTTCTCTTTTACAAATGCGAATATATCGGATTTCGCATGCAATTTTTACGTTCGCCCATTTCACAGACACAGTAACGCAACATTTGATCCATTTGCGACTTGCGAATGCAACAAATATATTATTAGTAACTCTTTCAACTGCCAATTGATTGATTGTAATATAATTATTGAAGGTAAAACTGAGATTCATTGAATTTACTAAACCACTTCATCTGCAATGATTAACTTATTAACAATATTAAAATTCAAACCCGAGTGTGTTGTCGCTTACGTCGATAGAAATCCAATATTTGTAGAACAGGATTTCTTTGGAGCGACAATAAAGGATTCAATTAGCACTTAGTTATAAACCAGTTTAGCTTTAGATAATTATTTTATAATTTAATTGGATTTGGATTGGGGGGGGGTAGTGGTGGATGGGATTGCACTTCGTTTCGGAGATCCTTGAGGTGTGATCTGAAGTGATGTTGTAATCGTCGTATTGGGACGTACCGTTACGTTATCAAGCGGGTGGTCGTAGTTCGGTTCGCTTGCTGTTATCAACGTTCGCGGCAGTTCGCGAATTGCGTGATGCGCGGCATATACAACCGAAAAATGAAAGGAAGCAAAGGATAAGAGAAAGAAACGACACGACTCGCGATCTCTTATTCTCTCTCTCTCACTCTTTCTATCCGTTTGTCCTTCCCGTTGTATTATTTGTAGCGCATGAACATCATCATCATCTCTTTCTCTCTTTCTCTCTCTCAATATTATCTCTACATAGTACATAACATTGCGCTACATGCTGTGGCTCTGTTACGATAATAGACAAAGAGTTGGAGGAGAGAGAGAAGTGTGATCAGTTTTCGGCCGCGTTTCGAAGCGGGTGGAACGTTTCGATAGAAAATGAGTTGTAATGCATTTGTATAACAATTGGGAGATCCGCATGAAGGAGCTGAGGAACCGTCTGCGCAATACCGTCGTCATATTCGGCATCAACACCGTCAACATGGTCATCGTCACATTGGAGAACGTCAAGCAGAAACAGGAGAAGCTGATCGTCCTCGATGCTAGAACGAAGGGGTCAGTCAATCAATCAATTGTGCTGCTGTTGTTGCTGTTGCATTTAAATCGACGTTGTTTTCAAATGGTGAAATGTTGTCCGGTGAAGTGTGTGAAGGCTCTCCTCAATGCTGTTTGAGTTTGAGCTGCTGCTATTGCTGTTGCGGTGACCATCTGCTTCGATCATGGTCGTACAGGAGGAGGTTTTTTAAATAAATATATGCAAAAGTATCTCATTAGCGGTTATCGCGCTCAGCACCTGGAAGTTCTCTCTAGTGCGCATTCCAGGACACACGTTGCACCATCATCATCACCAACAACATAAATAATAAACAGCCATATACAATAGATAACAGAAGCAGTAAAATCCAGGACAATTTTTCATCTTACAATTGTTGACTGAATCTAAAAATATTATATTAATTGTGCACGTGTCAAGTATTGCAATTTTCAGTGGGAATTAATAGAAATAGCAAGAAAAAGAAGAAGAAGAAGTGTATATGTGTGTGCGTGTGTGTGTACAGGCAATATTAATAAGATGGAAGAAAACAAATTTTAATTAATTCTCGTTACGAACCAAATACTGAGGAGGTTTCTCCTACTTACGTAAGTGACGAAATCGTTAATACGCGAGCCGCACGCGAAACGAAAACTAAATGAAATAGAGAAGAGGAGATAGAACGATATGGAGATAGACGACAATTTTCGCATTAACATTTAACCGGTTATTATCATTACTTTCGTCATTATTTTTCGATGAAGAACTTATTATATTAATCGTTGACATAGAAGTTCAAAAAGCGTCCCTAGTAACAAGAACTAAAACGCATCATCGATTAAATTAGAGTTTAGGAGTCAATTGTATGTATTATATATTTATTATTAGTGCATTAGGAAAGTTACACCAAATTAAATAATTAAAATGTTCGAATTGCGAGGGAAGAATTAACCGGAAAAGGGAATGTTTGTTTCTCCAAGTTATTTTGTGCTTATCACACATAATTGTCGTGTCTATTTTTATCTGTCGCACAAATTTTGCAAAGATTAGCAGACGATAATCACGACGACAACACACGTTCGTTGTTCCAAAAACAATGCAAAACACACACAATATATGAATTGATTAATTTATTGTTCTTATTTATTGTCTGCCGTTTCTTTCTTTCTTTCGTTCTTCGATCGTTCCACTTGGTCTGGTCAACCGACATCAAAATATTAAAAAAAAAAACTCGTTTCAAATTATCGTGCATCGTCCGACGATTACGAAACGATCTCTGCAAACTGCAATTGCATTTTCAATCGTTCTTCATATTATTACTTTCTCTCTTACTTTACTTATTAAATTAGAAAATAATAATTTCCGGTTAAAACTACTATTTTCTTAACGCAAGCAAATGCACATTGTTTAATATTAAAAGTAATAATTATGCATGAGAGATAACGATTTAATTAATTCCGAAAGATATGAAAGACATTGGGGGACGAAAGAGGGTGGTTCGAGTAGGGTGAGTTTTTCTCCCTCCCGCTGCTCGCACCACCGACAACACGAAAACAAACAGCCCTTCGGGGTTGCTCTCTTGTGTTAGTATGAAAAGGAGAGAAAGAGGAAGAGAGAGAGAGAGAGAGAGAGAGCGTATGTACGTACCGAAAAATCAATAATTCGCGCGCTTGCATTCATTGTCGTCGCCCATTGGAAATTGATAGAAAGAGTTCTTGCATTCATTGCACATTGCATGTTGTTGTTGTTGCAGTATGCTGTGCATACAGGACGAGCTGGGTCAACTGAATCTGAACAATAACCTGAACGGAGGTGGCGGTGGCGGCGGCGGCGTCGGCGTCGAAGGTGGAGAAAATGCGGACCACCATCAACATCGTCCAGTTGTCCCGTTGACGATCAGCGTGCCCGGAGCGGCTCAGGGATACGACAGCAGCTCCCCTGATACACCGCAGACGGCGCGCAAACAAGGATGGATGCAAGGCATCTTCGGATGTCTTCAGCCGGTGCTTTCGATCATCGGAAAGTCCGGCACAAACGAGATCAAAGGAAATCAAGGTACGCACCTGTAACAAGAAACAACAATACTTTATAATAATAATAGATAGATTTGTGCACTTTTGACGAGAGAAAAGAATATATTATTAAATAATTTGAATTTTTCTTGTTTTTTTGTTTTGTTTATTTTTTGGATGGATGCTAACTGTTCAGATTCGTCTGCAGATACATTCGAGATTCCATTTGAGCAGATCACCGATCTGCAATGGTTGGGATGCGGAGGACAGGGAATAGTGTTTTACGGATTGTACAAGAACGAACCGGTGGCCGTGAAGAAGGTGCACGACATCAAGGACACGGACATCAAGAACCTTCGCAAGCTCAACCATCCGAACATCGTCAAGTTTAAGGGCGTCTGCACCCAATCACCCTGCTACTGCATCGTGATGGAGTACTGTCCGTACGGCCCGTTGTACGATCTGCTGAAGAACCAGGACCAGTCTGTAACGCCGGCGAGGATAGTGCTGTGGGCGAAGCAGATTGCGAACGGAATGCAATATCTGCATTCGCACAAAATCATACACAGAGATCTGAAGAGTCCAAAGTGAGTAGAAATAGTAGTAGTAGTAGTAGTGGTAGTAGTTAGTACTCGACGATATTCATTTATTGTTTTCGCAGCGTGCTGATCGGGGAGAACGAGGTGATCAAGATTAGCGATTTCGGCACGTCGAGGACGTGGAACGAGGTGAGCACGAAGATGACGTTCGCGGGAACGGTTGCGTGGATGGCGCCGGAGGCGATCACCGAATCCACGTGCTCCGAGAAGGTGGACATTTGGTCGTTCGGCGTAGTCTTGTGGGAGTTGCTCACGTGCGAGATACCGTACAAGGATATGGAGCAGAACGCGATCATCTTCATGGTCGGATGTGGCAAGCTGCGACCGCCGATTCCGTCCAGCTGTCCGGCCGGCTACAAACTGATAATGGAGATGTGCTGGAAGCTGAACCCCAAACAGAGGCCATCCTTCAAATTGATTTGCAATCATCTGGAGATAGCCTCCGTCGAAATACTGAGCGTCTACAAGGAGGAGCTGTTCTTCAAAACGCAGGAGACGTGGAAGGAGGAGATCCGTTCGAAGATCGCCCAGTTCAAGGGGCAGCAAGAGAACGCGCAGTCCTTCATGAAGCAGCTGATAAAGACGCGCGAGACTGAACTGAATCACATCCGCGACATCAAGATACTGTACGACAGGAAGATCGAGATGGTCAATCAGATCTACTGCGAGGCTCTGCTGCTCAAACAGCAGATGCAGGAATGCTGGAAGAGGGAGCAACAGCAGCAGCAGGGCAAAAGACGACTCGTGCAGCAGCCCGTCATGAAGAAACTGGAGAGGCGAAAGTGCAACAACCATCACAACCAGCAGAACAACAACAGCACCACGCCGACGAGTCCCGAATGCAGTCTGACCAGTCCGGATACTCCGCACATCGTAAGCACCAATCAATTCTATACATTAGACGTAAACTTATGAATGAAACGCATTTGTGTTTACAGCCATCACCAAAGGCACCGTTTTACGCGCAGCTGAATACCGCGAATCAGCCGGAATCGACGTTGCAGCAGAACGGCGGTTGCAGCGGCAGTGGCAAAACTAGGAAGAGACACTACAGGAATAATTCGGGTTCACCGAGGAGCTGCGGCTGCAGCAATCTACATCTAGTAAACACCGAAACGCAAACGGATCACATGGAACTGAGCGAAACGGATCTGAGTCCGAACGGTTGTTATCCACCAGCGGAGAGTCTTCTGTTGGGTCAAATGCCGCAGAGGGTAATTCTGCAGGAGTGCAGAAGGAATGGATCGGATGATGATGACGACGACGATGACGAGGAGAGAACAAACGGTAATTGCGTTCAGCTGCATTACCTTGCACAACATTCCGAACCAGGTACATACATACATTTGCATACTTTCATACTCATCACGCACCAAGACAAATAATCATAGATGAACATCATATCATATTATTATTATATGTATTATTTGCAGAAGTTCAAGTTTTTACACGCGTAGAGTCTCGATGCGCGAGTCCCGATGACGTGGACACCGGATGCGATGTGACAACAACGACGACGGACACTGTAAATAGCAACAGCACGTTCGCACCGACGAGGGACAATTACAGTGACGAAGATAACCTGGAGACGCTGAGAAGGAAGGTGTCCGCGGTGACGGAGATTATCAGCGCGACGAACGGCAACATCTTCGATAACGGCAACGTCTCCGAGGATATCCAGGAGGCGATAAGGAAGAGACGTTGTTCCGAGTCGAGATCGTCGTGTCACGATAACGTCGTCGTCGACGCGACGAACGACAGCTTCACCGACGAGGAGGGCGAAGTCGGCGAGTACAACATGAGCCTAAGACGGAGGAGGTATTTACCGTAGTAGCAAGCAATCCAAATTCACAGCATCCACTTTCAAACACACACCTATCCTTGTAGCGTAGACGTAGATAATAAACTACTAACACAACAACGATGAACAATGTATGGGCAAACAGACTAACGTATTATTTCTCATTTGATTCTCGCAAACTAACAGCAAGCTCGGAAAAGAAGTAATTAAGATAAGGTAACTCAATTTAATGTCAGTCCTGTAAATGTATGTAGTGGTAGTGGGTAGTCGAAGTATGCTATCAATTGATTGATAGATTGATTGATTGTTATATTATGGAATGTGATTATAGTGTGGCGCGAAGACCGATCTATCCGGGCCGCAGATCGTCCAGATACAAACACCGACTCAACAATCAGATTCAGCGTGAGGTAATTGCCGCTTCCGACGAGGGAAACACCTCCGAGTATTCAAATCCTCCGTCCAGCAAGAGCTCAACGTTGGAATCGAATCCTGGCGGTCGCACTCCGATGGTCTCGTTGAAACGGGCAAATAGCGACGAGCCTACGTTGAACTCTTCGGACAGTGAGTCCGAGGAGAACCTCACGATAGCCACGCAACTCTGCTACGATTCGAACAAACTCGAGAAAGTATAGTCTGATTTTATTTTATATTTACAACACACACACACACACACTCACTCACACAAACACATCTCAATATATATATAAATATATATATATAATAATTAATATTTCATCCCCTCCATTACTTAATTAATTATTATTATTATTGTATAAAGTGAAACGATGATATGAAACTGTTGTACATTATTATTTTCTTTGATTTTTAAGTTTTATTATTATTATCATCATCATCATCATCATTATTATTGCTAATTATTAATCAATGTGAAAAACGAGTGATATTTTTATTATTTTAATTCTTTTATTTTTGTCTAGTTCTTAAGTATCTTCGATTAGTGTCTTCGTGCAATTGTTTTATTTTTTTATTATTATTATTATTATTATTCTTATGATTTTGTGACCTGGCAATGTGTTTGTTCCCTCCATCTATATTCTTATTTTATTGTAACTTACTACATATATAATTACGGTTATTATTAACTATTTATTCTACGAGAACATTCCACTATTCCGTTCGTTTTTGTTTTGTTTATTTATTTTGTTCTAGTTGTTGGGGCGGCGAAACGACGGAAAACGTCTTTATTATTATTTTTATATGTATACATATAAAGAAAAACGTATTTTATAGTTATTTTTTTTTTGCTGAATGAAATGAAAGAATGAAAAACTTACAACAACAGCAACAAAATGAAGAGAATTTAGCAAAGAAAGAAGAAGGTCTAGAAAACAAAAGACGTTGAAACGATAGATAGATGTATATATATTTGCAATAATAATGTGGCATAACTTTGGAATCTTATGTTCTGTGCCTTTTCTGTTTGGTTTATCCGAACGATGAAAATACTCGATTTCCATTTAAAAAGGAAATGAAAGGCATTTCTTTGCGCGAAAGCAGTTTTTGTGCTTTAAATTGTATTCGATTGATTATTAGAATGTGTATTTACAAAAAAAAAGAGAAGAAATACCAGAAACTTGTAAAGTTAGGTACAATTGTTGATTATTATTTTATCGGATCGAAACGTGGTGAGTGGAAGAGGTAAATGTCCTAATACAGCGACATATACATACACATACATACAGACACAAACACACACGAGTTAATGTTAATACGAGAGTTGTACTATATTATTGTATTTTTCTGTACTCTGCCCTCCCTTCGAAAAGATAAAGTAAACAAGAAGAAAAATATTTAGAATGAAGAAAAATAAAAAATATATATATATATTTGCAGAATATGAGAGAAGGTGAAGAGAAAATTAAATGAAAAGTTATTTATTAAACTTTAAAAACAAATAAATATTGATACAAATAAGTATCGATTGTTTTATTTATTTTCCTCCCCCCCCACACTATTTTAATATTATTAATAACAATCAGAAAATTAATGCAAATTACATTCGTTAAATACTAAACAATTGTAATTGAAATGATTTGCGGAGGATTCACCAATAGAACGATCTATTCCATAGATCTGTGGCAGATTGCAGGAAACCGCTCGCATTTCTAGCCAAGTGATTGGTATAATTGTAAAGAGCGTGTTTCTTGGGCGGCGTCTCTTCATCGACCAAATAATCCAGCGGTAAAGTTTTGTTTGTTTCATTCAGTACGTCGACGTAGTCCTGAAAGCAATCGATATTTATTCCTTACTGTAAAATTTATAATGATTTAATTTAATGAAAAGCTGAAAGGGTCTAAACAGTGATGAACCATTTGTTTCGTTAAAGGTAAAGAAAAATCAGTGTATAGTGAATCGGAAAAGGAAGTGTATAGAAGAATCTTGTTAATGCATCTATTGGATCATAGATGGTAGCAATAGTATTCGGAGCAACCGCGATTTTTGTAATCGGATGTGTATTATACCTCTTGGAGTTCATGCTCTCCTCGTAGAATGTAGTCTATTGCGTCTTCATACGAGTTGGACTAGAAGCAGCGCAACTCGTCGGTTGTCGCAAGCGCACAAAGATGGGATATGATAATTTTGGCACAACGCGTGTTACCACCAACCGACCAACAACTAACTATCTATTATTACTTTTATTCACTGTCTTCTCTTCTCGCAACTTTAGAGTCCAAACAAAATACTACATTCTCTCTTAACTAATAATTGTAATAAATACTAATCACCTGTACGATACCAATTTTAATATAATATATATCAATCTCACCGTCGTTCCTGTCTCTCGATTTTTGGTCATCACCAGCGCTCTCATTCCGGCTGCACGCTGCAGACGCTCGAGAACCGTCTTCAATGCGAGCTTCGGGCTTATCCTGATCGTGCACTTTTGCTCCGCGACGTCCACCACGAAGGACACCATCCCCTTCAACGAAACCAGACATTCGTCGAGAGCGGATCTGTTCACCTGTATGCCACACATAAATTAATATTAAATGTATTCCGTAAACCGATTTTGCACAGATACATCCGTAAGATCATCGATGAAGAGATGGTACATCGTTGTCGTCGAATGGAACCTGAGATTCCTTCCAGTGCCCTTGCGAAGACGAGTTCCGTATGCGGGAGGCGCCGCCTTCCTCAAACTCTCCATCAGATTCGAGGCTCTTGTAGACAGTCTCTTATCGTAACTTCTGGCGCTATTAAAATAAATAAAAGAAAGAAAAATAACTGATCACATACTTTCTTAGCAAACTTCCTTCGTATCACCTGATAGCCAGAGACTCCAACGACTCGAACATCCCGAAGATTCTCAGCAGAGCGTCGTGCGTGTCGGAATTATTCACTAAACTCTCCAAGATGTCCAAGCACAGATCGACGATTTCCAAATTCTTGTTCTCCAAAAGTGTAGCGATGTATAGGATGATCGTTTTATCCTAAAAGAAAACAACAACAAAAACAGGTATGAAATAACTGATCTATTGATCAACCTTGAGAAGTTCTTTATGGTTCGATGCCTTTTCGGCTAGATTCTTGTAGTTTAAGAGGGTGTTCACAATACCGTTGGACATGTCGCTTTCCGATAACAACAGAGACACTCTGACGTGCGTGACGTTTTTGATTATATAATGAAAAATTCGTCGCTATTTTGATGTTATCGAAAGAAGAAACAAGAAGTTAGAGAGGCATCTGTATGTGAGAAATAGATAAATGCATTGGACCAATTAACGTTCCATTCGATTTAATTGCAGGCGAAATAATTGCTGGTGGTGTTCTTTTTTTTGATGCGCCGGGTATATAAACCTCAATTTCATGTTGCACTTTGCCCCTCCAAATCTTGCCGTTAGCACTATGCGTCTAGACCAGTGTCTGCCAAACTTTTTTTTACCTCAAGGCATACCTCTCTCTACTCGCTTAATTTGTTCTGCGGCACACCAAAATCCCAGCAAAATAAACCCTATGATCAAATGTTTGACCTGTAATTATTTTCTTTTTGGATTAGATGGATTTTTATTGTAGAATTTAATTTTAATCCCACAGATAAACCAACGTATGGTAAATCTAGTGGATCAAAACGAGATCCGTTGCATATTCTGTATGAAACAGGTGCAACCTCGTGAAGGTTAAATGCGAAACGGTCTTGAATCAATTCAGAGGCTATGTTTTGCGCTTGAAATGATACCTGGTTATCATCGTCTGTGAGAGAAGATGATATACCTTTTGCACCTGGAGATGCGGCCACGTGGAAGTCGCTGCTCTCACTCAAAGCAAATGAGAGCAAACGCGCGACCGCACACCCGGGAGGAATTAAAAAGGAAATAGGGAAATTTAGGATAGAAGGAAATGCTATGATCTAGATGTCCTGAAACAGAACACAAAGAAATGACACACACCCGACCCAAAACATGAACGAAATATACGTTTACACAATCTATAAGATCGTATTAAAAAATACGATACACATTTATAATTACAATA